CAATTCAGAAAATATCCCTTTTCTTTGTTTGTCTTCAAGGTCTTCTGCTGAGAACGAGTCCTTCTGGAAAATCAAACCTGGAGAATAAAACAGCCGGACAGCGACTTGTTAATTTTTTCTGTAAAATGTTATCTCTTTTGTCCGTCGTCTCTTCTCTGCTTCATGTCCATCCTCAATTCGACCCTCTCAGAATTCAAACTCAGTCTTTCCTCACTTCTCTCTGGACTCCCTCCCTGTCTGTCTCACCGGCTGTCTGTCTCTCTGCCTGTCTGTCTGTCTGTCTGTTTGCCTGTCTGTCTGATGAATTCACATAAACTTTATCAGTTCTGTCTCTTTCTATAAAGCAAGGACATCCAGTTGGAAATAACACACAGGCTCCTTTACTCCACTCAGTGTGGGCAGTGCAGTAGTATACTGCCCTCCAGAGGCTAACGGCAGTAACTACACTGACTCAGAGTTTATGACTGTCCAGCCAAATGTGTATTCAATTATTAATTATTGTATAATTATTATTATTAAATATGTATTCTCTGAGTCATTCAATGAATCATGAACACTTCTTTGACCTCTGCCCCGTAAACTGCAGATCCTGCACTCTCTTTGTATTAGCATAAACAGTCTGAGTGTCTTGTTCCTGACTGAATCTCATTAATTGCATTCTCTGTTCCCTCCGTCAGTCAGGATGTCTATCACTAAGATTCACGCTCGGGAGATTCTGGACTCCAGAGGAAACCCCACAGTGGAGGTGGACCTGTGGACAGCCAAGGGTGAGAACCTACAAGCTTCAGTTATTAGACTAAATAAGTTAAAGACTGGAAGCAGAGGGAAATTGCTAGCTTACCTCTAAAATCTACCTTCCATAACCAACTCTGTCTGTCTGTCTCTCAGGTCTGTTCAGGGCAGCCGTTCCCAGCGGTGCATCAACTGGAGTCCATGAAGCTCTGGAGCTTCGCGATGGAGACAAGAGCCGCTACCTGGGCAAAGGTAGGAGCAAGGCAGTGACAGAGTGAGGGTTCAACTCCCTGTAGCATTTTCCTTCATGTCCATCTGGATCTCACACGGCTTTACTTTCCCCTTCAGGTACAATAAAGGCAGTGGATCACGTGAACAAGGACATCGCCCCCAAGCTGATTGCAAAGGTATCAAACGATCAATATGTCGTTAAAAAAACAGTAAAGTCAAAGTGATTGTGATGATGATGTGACTATCACATTTTTACCCTTCAGGGGGTCATTGAGACTTTGATGATTCATAAACTGAAATAAAAACAGATATTTGAAAGCGTTATAGCACAGCGAGGATGATGATATAAACAAGTTTTTACTTCGGCAGTTCATTTTGAGTTTTTATTTCATGGTGTTGAGTGTTTGGAGGTTTAAGTTAACGTATTATTTTATAATATCTGCTGTTAGTTTGACAGCGTATGACCTGCTTTATACTGACTGTAGACTTCCTGTCTCTCCAGAACTTCAGTGTTGTCGAGCAGGAGAAGATCGACAAGTTCATGCTGGAGCTGGACGGCACTGAGAACAAATGTAAGGACCTGTCTGTCTTCCTGTCTGTCCTTCTGTCTGACCAGTCTGTCTCTTTTTAACCTGTCTGTCTCTCTCTACAGCTCAGTTTGGTGCTAACGCCATCCTGGGCGTGTCGCTGGCCGTCTGTAAGGCTGGAGCAGCAGAGAAGGGAGTTCCCCTCTACCGCCACATTGCCGACCTCGCCGGACACAAAGATGTCATACTTCCTGTTCCTGTGAGTGGGAGGGGCTTCTGGCGGGTCGGAGGGGCACAAAGTACTGACTTATACTTTTATATAGCATATGTGGCTAGTTACATGTCAAAATGAGTATTGAGTATTGAGTTAAAGTGATGCAAATGAATTAAATTTGCAGACTTTCTTCCTCCGGCTAAATGCTCCTATTATCATTTCTAATCATATTTTTTTTACTGATGATGGAGTTGTGATTATCAAATGCATATTTCTTTACCTGACAATCTGACATGATGCAGAAACAGCAGTAAAAATGCTCAGGAACAATAATTTATGCACAAATAAATTGTGTCGCCGTGGTTTGTTATTCTCGTCGGTATAAACAAACTCCTCCTCCTCCTCTGCAGGCCTTTAACGTCATTAACGGAGGCAGCCATGCTGGAAACAAACTGGCCATGCAGGAGTTCATGATTCTTCCAGTTGGAGCCGCCAACTTCCACGAGGCCATGAGGATCGGAGCTGAGGTGTACCACAACCTGAAGAATGTGATCAAGGCAAAGTACGGCAAAGACGCCACCAACGTAGGAGACGAGGGAGGCTTCGCCCCCAACATCCTGGAGAACAATGAAGGTGAGACATCCACCCATCTGTCTGTCTGATCTCAGTATTGTGCTACGTTAGGGGTTTGTTATATCATATAATTCATTAAAACAAATCTTACTTATTAATAATACTGCAACGTGTTCCCAACTTCTTGCAACAGTGAGTAAACTGACTATATTTTCTGTATATTTCATATTCTACTGATCATAACAACAACCATCAATAAACTGAACCATGAACACAAACAGTGAACTCAGTAACTGCAGTAAGTTTGTGGAAAACCAGAGATTTGGATGAATTATGAGCTGTGAATATTGATCAGAGATGAGTTTTCCTGATATTTCTATTTAATTATCTGTCTGTATTCTGTATTTTTTTTAATCAGTTTTAACAATCATACAGACTTAATAGTCTTATTTTTTAAAAGATTCCGTGTTTTCGTCTCATCAGTTCTTTGGTAGTTTTCTAACACAGGATGAGGCTGTTGATCAGACAGTGAAGGCTCTGTCAGTGTAGACTGTGATCATTCTCACTCACACAGCGATCAATAACACTTGTTCCCTCTTCACGCAGCTCTGGAGCTGCTGAAGTCGGCCATCGAGAAGGCCGGTTACCCCGACAAAATCATCATCGGAATGGACGTGGCGGCCTCTGAGTTCTTCCGCAGTGGCAAGTACGACCTGGACTTCAAGTCCCCTGACGACCCGTCCAGACACATCAGCGGAGAGAAGCTGGGAGACCTGTACCGCAGCTTTATCAAGAACTACCCTGGTAACACAGAACTCTTCCGCAGTGTGTGATTGGCTTTATAATCAATGTAAAACTCATTGACCTTCCTGTATCAGTTGGGTTATAGATACAATGGGAGTGAATGGACCTCCATAAACTTTAATGCAATTTAGAACTCATAATAATCAGTAATGTCATCATTATAAAAAGTTGTTTAGTATTATTTTTATTTATTATTTTATGTGTATTTAAAAAGTGTATACACACAGTACATAATACATGTAATGTACCAGATATAGCTAAAAGCTCATTTTCATCTGTAGTCCCGGGGCGGAGGTCAGTAGCGCGCAGGTTACATGGATAAAAGATCAGCAGTAAATGAAATACTGAACATTTTTAAATATTAGTAGAGTATTTATTTTAAACGCTGGCTAAGATATCAGCACAATGAACATCTCTGTGGAACCTTAATAACTTAAAAAAATAAGTTATCAATAAGACAAATTATAGCAGCAAACTATAAAACAATTC